GTGCCTGCACCTGGAGGGCCTGGGCAGCAGCATCCTGTCCTGACAGCCCCCTGCCTGCACCTGGAGGGCCTGGGCAGCAGCATCCTGTCCTGACAACCCCGTGCCTGCACCTGGAGGGCCTGGGCAGCAGCATCCTGTTCTGACAGCCCCCTGCCTGCACCCGGGGGGCCTGGCTGGCCGCTGCACCTGTCTACATGCTCCCCTCTGGCTTCCACTGCCTCTTGTCTTTATGCATTTGGTTCCCATTCGACCAGAATTACACACTTTGTTAGTTGCTTAAAATCAACATTGGAGTGAGAGGAAAAAGAGAAAATGAAAGAGAGAAAGAAGCCATCCAAGAAAGGAAGAGCAAGAGCGTGAATGACAAAGGAAAAGGAGAGGGAATAGGAAAGAAGAAGGAAGAGGCAGAAATTCAAAGTGAAAGCAGGAGGAGACAGAAGTCGAAGGAAAGAGAAAGGACCAGATAAGCAGAAAGGGAGGAGGCTGGGGAGGCAGCATGGAGGCCACTGCGCAGCTCAGAAGGCAGAAATGGTCACCGGTGCTGTCTTTTTTGGATTTTGTGGTCATAACCACGCTGACTTCAATGCAATTCAACAAACTCTTGCTGAGCACCTACTATGTGGCAGGCCCTGATGTGGAGCTGGGACACAGCCATGGATAAACACACCCAGATCCCTGCCTCAAAATGTTGCCCATTGTCTAGCTTACCCCCTTCATGTCACAACAGATGAAAGCAGTACTCAGAGAGGGTGAGTCACTTGTCCAAGGTCACACAGCAAGCTAACGGGAGAACAGGAGCAGAGCTCAGGTTTCTAAACCTGATCTAGAACTTTCTCTCTCCCTGCCTTGCTCTATCAGTCCATCCTATGGTTCAACCCTCAAGAAAACATTTGCCTGTAACCTAGTCTGGACTTGGCTTTAATGTGCAATCATAAGCAAAAAGAAGAAAATGAAGAATACCAGGATATCCAGACATAAACAGTAACGTGTTAGAGGCCCTTCTGGGCTTTTTCCTATGCATAGACATTTTCCTATGCATAGACATCGTGAAAGTTCTATTTATACAAAATGTAAATTTTCACTTTGTGAGTTTTGCATTTAATGACATAGAAAGCTCATTTCTCTACAAGATCTTCTGCAGTGTGGATTTTATAGCTACCTAATATTCTCTGCTGTAAGGGATAGGAAAAAAGGGAGGCGGAAAGTTCCAGATAAAATCAATTCCCTCTTACTGGGCAGTTGAGTGTTTACAATTTTTACCAGCTATCAGCAGAGCCGAGATAAACATGGCTGCACATAACCTTCTGCGCCCTCTGACCACGTTTTGGATACGTTTGTGGAAGTCACATGGCTGAGACTCGGCATAAACCTTTTGAAATGCGTTTAATACTTACTGGCCGACAGTTCTTCCAAAGATAAGCGTTCATTTATACTCCTGATAGCTCAAACGCTGCCCAGCCGCAGGTCCTTTTCACCTCTGACAGACGTACGGGAGAAAATGGAATTCTGAGGTTTTTCTCATTGGTGTTTATTTTGTAACTTAAGGGAGCTGACCATGTTTTTTTAATAAGGCCACTGGCCATTTTGTGCTTTCTTTTATATTATTTGCATGTTCATCCCTTTCGCCTGTTTTACTTGTTGACGTTATTAACACTGTTTTTTTTTTTTTTAAGCTCCTGCTTGCTGCTGGAGTGAAAAACAAATGCGCAATATGCCGTTCTGCACAAAAGCAAGCGGTGAGCAAGGCTGCCTGGAATTCGCCCAGCAACAAAGAGATTCACGTAGCTGCCACCAGGCGTCACTCTATGCACACCGCCAGAGCCCATCCAGGCACTCCTAAATCCCCTGACATTGATCGTGGTCTCGGCTGTGGGATGACAGTGGACAAAGACTTTTTAAGAGCCTGGGTTTTCATCTGTCTGCACAAGCATTTCTAGGACCCTCCAGGCCAGGCACAGCCCTGGGCCACCCTCTGCCGTAGCATCATCGTCATGTCATCTCCCCTGTAAGCTTTTGGAGAGCAAGGTGCATGCCCGGCTCACTGCACCTGGGACGTGCCAGGTGCCCAGTGCACACTGACAGGAAAGCATTCATACCCATCTGTAGATAAGCCATGTTTGTCTTGCCAACTATGAATGGTTTTTATTTCCTTTTATTCTGAGCAGAAACCCTGTCCCCAAACTCCTCCCAAGTCAGGGTTTGTCTTTGCAGTGGTCCGTTCCTCTGCGGATCAGGGTTCCAAGTGACTTTCTCTAAAACATATGACCCCAGGCAAGTTATGGGACTCCTCCAGACCACAGGTTTGGGGATGGGCACTGCCCCGGCCGTCTTGCAGAGTCCATGAGTTCCTGTCTAGGAAAGTGCTTTGTGACCATGAAGCAGAGAAAATACATTCTTATAATGACCGCCCTCGCCACAGTGCACACCATGGCTCCCAGAGCACATCAGACATAACTGAGGGACAGTTGCCGGTGATGCCCAGCCTATGTCTCCTTTCAGACGCTGCTGCTTCC